CCCGCCGCAACCCCCACCCCGCGCTCGCCCTCACGTGTCCCAATCAATCTCCTACGCAAATTCGTTTAATTTAACGTTGAATTCTCAATTAAGCAGTCGTTGTCGGTCGCTGTGTGATGTTTGCTCTCAACTCCACTGCTATTGTTTGCGGCCAGTTGTTATTGATTGGGGATTTAGAGCGCGGGGGTTATTTACCGCTTAATTTATTGATGGTAATAAGCCTTATGAGATCGTTATTTGTTTACAAGATTTGTACTCACAGAAAGCTGTCTATTACCTTTAAATAAACAAATATATATGATGAGATGCTTGCCCCTATATAGAGAATATGATATCTCAATAAGTCGCTTATTTTGATATTGTTTATCTGAACAATCCATTACACTTAACGATCTCTATGAAATTCTTCTTTTTCTTCCTAAACATTGCATGATGTAACTAATTATCGATTAATTTTATTTTCCGTTTTTCACAGTTCAAAGAATGTTCATTAAGTATTCAGGATTGATGCAGAAAATTGCACTTTTCATTAAGTTAATGCAAATATGAATATTTAACGTGTCGTACCCGTGTCGTGTCGTGACGTGACGTATCCGTCAGATAGTCGTCACGCGATCGTGAACAGATTTCAATCAAGTTTACATTATTTAAACCAATCAATTCACTTTGTCGTTTATTATTTAAAGAGTTTATTTTCAATAAACTGCACAAAGTGATTATGTATTTTTTGTTGCAGTTATTTAGTAAGGGGGTGAAATATGAATAATCTGATTGAAATTTATATAAAAAAATTAAATGTGTCTTTCTATTGAAATAGAAAACTCTAATATGTGTTTTCAATTACTACCGACTTTATCACAACTGGTTATTAAGTCTCTCAAGAGATACAAAAGATTAAAGTTGTAATTAAAATTTTATTTTACAAATAAACCATCTAAATCGATTTAATGCAATTGTATAAATAAACATAGAAGACGATAGTTGGTGTCGTCCAGCGGCGTGCGCTTGCCTCAGCCGGCCGCGTAGCTCGCGGCTCCACACAAAAGAAGCGGCCACAGAGGACCTCTTAACAATAAAAAGACCCCAAGCGACGCCCTCATTGGTCCGCGGCGGTGACGTCACCGGCGCCACGCCCCGCGGACGCGCACCTGAGATGAGACCGCGTGAGATTTGTAAAAGTGTAAAGAGGACGACACTAATATTGACGATCACTACTACAATCGCAAAACGTAGCATGTTCTTTACGGTGTCCGTTACAATTTAAATCGAATGTAAATGGTATAAGGTTGAGTTTACATTGTTGTGTGTGTGATGTGGTGTCAAAGGTACAGTAGAGGCGGTCAGTCGGAAAGCTGTTATTGTTTGGTTACGGGTTAACCGATTTGGTTAAATTTGTGTTAAGGCGGCAGATGTCCGGCGCGCTCGCTCCGTCCCGCTCTCTCTCCGCGGGGGCGCTGTAATCGCTTTATACTCATTAATTGCCTCTTGATTACCAATTAATTACGAAAGGGGAGTTTAAAGGCTTTAAGATGCGACGCAAAATTTGTTTTTAATTACTTTGAGATTTTGTAATTAGCATATCAAATTGTCTTTTGTTTAGGTTCTGTAGAAGTTCACCTCCTCGTATAAATAAGTTTTTAATCGATGCTATTTAATGTAGAAGCTTTTACATAGACACGAGTGAAACTTTACGTAAATCTTTTTTTAATAAAACCAAACGAAGCATAATTCCAAAATTATATTAAACTTAATCCCGAACTTTAACGGTTGGATAAAAATTAAATAGTTAGACCAACAAGTTAGCGGGCGAGGCGAGGAGAGACGACGCGGCACAATCGGCCCAATCACATCCGGAAAAAACTATTGAGAGCCGAGAAAGGAGCCGCCGAGGGGAAAATGCTAATAATACGACGCTCCTCGCAAACAAAATCACAACGCGACCCCAAATTTCGCACTTTCAATGGGCAATTTCACCCCGAGCGGCCCCGCCCCCGGCTGCCCCCGCCCCGGCCGCGCTGTCGTCGCCAGTCAGTGCCGCGCCGTCGTCAGAGATGGACGCCTCCGACGACCGGTTCCTCGAGGAACGTTCCGACACCAACAGCCCGCGCTCGCACATGAGTTCGCCTCACTCGGCGTCCTCCATTAATGTGACGGAGCAGTCGCTGTCGTTGCAGCAGCACCAGAGCCTGGAGACGTTACGCATGGGCATGTTCTTCCACGCGCAGCAGATGCAGCTGAGCCATAGTTTGGACGCCGTGAAGTCGAGACTGGGGCTGACCGCGGCGGGAGGTCAGGGGCCGCGGCACACCATTGACGCCATCCTGGGCCTCAGCGCGCCCCAAGCCGCCCCTCGCCGCGACGAGGACCTACCCGTCTCCCCGGGACACAACGAGAGCGCCGGTAAGTGCCTGATGCCCGCTGCCGGGGCTCGAACCTACTCTTTGCTAACGGTGACTAGGCCTAAAGGCTCTAAAGCATACGCTTGTACAAATCTTATTGTTATTCATGAAGAAGTCCCTCAAGTTTCTTTTCTCTACCGATTTAAAGAATAAAAACTGTTTCAAAACAAAATTAACTTAATTCATTAAATTTAAAGATTAATAATTAAAACTGTTAAAAAAACGTCAACAACTCATTATATTACAATGTCCAGTAGGAAGGTTGGATACCAATGTCACATTTTATCTTTTTAATTCTTACCCTATACAACACATCTGCTAGTTAATTGAAACATTTAAAAAACGAGTCATAGTTTAACCTTCCATATTTTGACACTGTTCTAAAACTACGGATGTAAACACAAAAAAATTATAATTTTCTGTTTTTTATTAATTTATCTACATACCTTGTTGACTCTCACACTTCTCCCTATAATACAATAATTTTTTTCTTTTATTATTTGTATATTAATAAAGAAGTCAGTATAGATTTGCACATACTAGTAATAATTGGCGTAGGTAGGCGTTCCCGTAGAGCACCGCCCGCCGGCTACGCTCTACGCGGGTGCTACGCAAGCTCTTTGAAATATCTACGCGCTTCAAACGGGCCTTTTGTAATCGTTGTTTTGTAAATAATATTTATGTTATATTGTAAACGTGCTATGTAAATAAGGTTTTAAATAATTTTATTATTATTATAGATTATATGATTAATTTTAAGCTGATAGAAAACTTAGAGTAATCCTTGTGATACAATCATTATGAGATTGTTCTAATAATAATGACACGTACAAAATATTGATGTACTGGTAAATGTTATAGAACTGAACCACCGACCTAATTTGACCAAACCACTGACTCCTTCCGTTTTAACCAAACCGTTATTAATTAAATTACAGTTAAGTTATTATTATGATTAATTTATCTTGGCTTTAATCTGAAATTAATTAGTATGACGCAAACGTAATAAAATAATATAAATAGCTCAGTTTATTTGAAAAGTAACTTGTAGCAAAGTTGTGTGATTGCTTAACTTATCTTAGAATCAACTGTAATGTTACAATGTCCGATTTCATTTTGTTTTTTATTGACTTACAACACGGCGAGTGGGTCAGGACATTTATATAGATTAAAACTAACTTTAATCAAGAGATCATCGTTTAAAAATAAGAGAGAAAGAAAACTAACAAAGCAATCGATAACTTTTAAGCAATAACTTACTTAGCAATAGTCTATTCTCTTTCTACGATTAATTAATTAATTTACCGCAAACCAACTTATTAAAGAATAACAAGAAACAAATGGTACATAGCACAGAGATCAAAAGTTATTGCTGTAAGCAAATATAATACTTTATCTATACATGTATACAAACATTACAATAAAGTTAGGCCTAATAAGTACATTTAAAAGTCTAAAATTAAAAAGAGAACTTTCATAAAACAGTCGTGCGCGTTGTAAAAACAAAATGGCCGCCTTCGTATTCGGTTATCGACAATAAAGTGCTTTACACAACCGGATGCACTATAAATGATCTCTAGATCATTGATCTGTTCAAATTATAAGTAATGTGTTTATCATTTTATTTGTTGCGTTAATTTTAATACACTCGATGTTAAGTGTTGATTGTTTGTAGCAAATTTACATTCATAAGTAGTTGTGTTTTTTCACTACAAGAAGTAACATGTTTACTATAATATATTAGCTCTAAAATATTTATATTATCCTAGGACCGCTTAGTATTCCATTTAAGTCCTAACTTGCAATCATGAACCACTTGCCTGATATAGATAAGTTATTTGAAATCCAAACAATATGTATATCGTCAAAAGCTACACTTGAATCATAGCTGATCTAGCGTTAATCTAAACATTATTAAGATAATTAGGTTTAGATTTTCTTAAAACGTAGTAATACATACATATTCATGTATTTTATATTTATAACCACAACAAGATTTTAATATATAGATAGTACTAGCTGTCGGCTGCGGCTCAGTCCGCGCTGAAATAAAAAAAAAACTTTATTAGTAGCATATGTGTTCTTCCAGACTATATTCTACACACGTAAAAAACGAAGCGAGAACCATGCAGCAGTTCTGAAGATATCTTCTAACAAACATCCATCCATACATCCAAATATTTGCATTAATAATATCAGGAAGAAGTAAGATAAGATTAAATAATATGTAGCGGAAGAATCAAAATGCCAATTTTGGTCATTACTAAAATTAATTGATGTGTCATACCTGGATAACCAAGAGTCCAAGAGACCTCGATATCTTCTAGCTTATAGAAATTTCTCTCTAACCCGAGTTTTTCACTTATGAAGGTTCTCCGTCGGTACCGGACACTAACTCTTGCTTGTTCAGGGTCACTATCTATATATATAAAAGAAAGTCGTGTTAGTTATACTATTTATTATACTATTTATAACTTAAGAACGGCTTTACCGATATAGCTGAAATTTGGTGAAGAGGTAGCTTAGAGCCAGGAGACGGACATAGGATACTATTTGTTATTTTTTTTTCGAATTTATGCCTCGAAGAGCTGCTTTTTATTTAACTTACTAATATAAATGCGAATATTTAGATAGATGTGATGTAGATGGATGTATGGGTGAGCTACACTAATTAAGTTTTTTATATATCCACGCGGTCGGAGTCGCGGGCGACAGCTAGTATTGATATAAACATAGATGAGTTAGATTTGCTACAGTGCGTATAAACTAGTACAAGAAACAAAAGAAAACTTCCATTTAATCATATTATATATATAACTGAAGCAATTATAAAAACGCTAACAATGTTACGAAATGTTTAACCAGAGTATTTAATTTTTCGTCCAATTAACGACAAAAATAAACATAAAACTCGTTGAACACGAAAGTGTTGTGAGGCGAGGTCGTTTCCACCTGAAGGTAATTTGTGTGAAATTATTAATTAAGTTAATCGTCTTATCAGCACTTTAAATCAGTACGCTTAAGGTTAGGACCATGGGGAGGGTTTTGTTACGTAAATGCTAACTTATAAAAACTGAATTACTCAACATTTAAAGGATATTTCATGTATTACTAGCTGTTGCCCGTGTCTTCGTTCACGCGGAATTAAAAAAAAACTTAATTAGTAGAGTAAATGAACACAGGAAGAAGTTCCAGACTATGTTCTACATCTATGCCAAATTTCAGTCGTTCTGGAGGTACCTTCTAACAAACATCCATCCATGTAAACTTTCGCATTTGTAATATTAGAAAGATGTAGTATTTGTTGCAAACCTTGGAACATAGGAAAAGATTTATTGAAAGATAATATAATGAGGATATCGTTCAAATCTAGCTAACTTTAATATTTTCTAACATACAGAGGAGTCCTTGATGATTTTAATTTTGTAAAAAATACCAAGTAAAGTAGTTATATTCATAAGTTTATATATTACTAATTACTAATAACTATTATAAAAGTGTACTTTAAATTTTAGTATCAGATAAAAATAACTGTATTTTCGGTACAACACATTATCATACTTTACTTCGATTCATGTAAAAACATAATATATTATTAATATTGAAAACGTTGACCTCTTGCAATACATATACATTCAGTTTACTTATTTACAAATATGGATGTATGCTAATTTATTATGAATTTATTAAATTATTTTAAACTCTTTTTCAACCAAACTTTCGGAGATTGACCTCTGAATGTGTTTGCTGTTATTTGCACAAGTTTAAATTATCTTTCCTTCCAATAAACTATTTTTTTGTTGTTTTTTGCAAACAACGCACTCGCTAATTGCTACAGTGTCGCGCTCTGGTGACCACGATTTACAACACTTTACAAGACATTCCTGATAACATTTACATTTTTTGGATAGCAAATATAAATCACACTTATTATGTCAAAACAAAGAAATTGCGATTTATCAATGGTAATTTTTAAGCAAAAAATGAAAGAAAGATAATTTTCGTGTCTTTTATAAAAATAAAATATTTATTTGCATCATTTCAATATCTAAAGATATTTTTAAAAGATTCGCATAACTTAAGGAAAGTAAAAAAAAACTAGTGATAACATTTACTGGTCTATTAATAAAGTGACTTACGTTTCCCCGAAAAACGTGAGTAACAAATTATTCCGTGAGTATGGTCATCCTACTTATACAAACTCACTCTTTATAATAATTAGCAAAAGTTCTTATGCCAGTTTCCGCCTTTTCGAGAAAGCATTAAAATAATCGAGAGCTAATAAGCAACGAATCTTAGTTTTTGCTCCGACGGCGACGTCTCGCGGCCGCATTCCGAAACTAACCAGCTCCCGGTTTGGTCACTTTTATTAAAACTTATAATATTGCATTTCGACAATTTGTATTCATTTATTTTTGTAGCAAAATGAATTAGTCAACATTTTTACTTTTAATTGGGAAAAAAATAAAATAAATACGAACCAAATGCAATATGTTTCGTGATTTCTGATAAATTAAATATTGTAAATTTTTGTTCTGGACAGCGCGCGTTAAGATTTGGTGAAATCAATCTTTTATTCATTTTACTTATCATTGTCATTAACATCATTTTAAAAAATCACTTTGAAAAGTCTGGATGAGCAAGAGATCTTACCTTTTGCCTTGATTGCCAGATGTTCAGATTGCAACTCGTGACTAAACGTAAAATAAATTTTGTACAAAATATAAATTAAAAGAATTATTGCTCAAGAAATACATTTTTCCGTTTAATGAAGCTTGCAATTGCTACATTACTGCACAAATATTCACAATATATATATATATTTGGTAAATGTGAAATTATGTAGGTACTAATATTGAGATAACATCAATCATCACATCGCATCGCTCTGCGGCCAAATAATCCAAAGCTTCATTACTGAACTCGATTATCGGAACTCGATTCTGTGGTCGCGAATCGATTCACAATCGGCATTAGGACAGCATTCGATTACCCCGCGCACCCCGCACCCCGCACCACCCCGCGTCATCCCTCACGCGCAGACCGCGCTGACCAACTCTCATTGCCGGGTAATTCCCCGCCCGCCAGCCTTCCCCTGGCCTCCAATGATTGCTATCAAGTCAATTATCAGGACAACGTTTGTATGTTTAATTGATATTTCAATATGTATGTGTTGGGTAAGTTTTATTGTTTATATATATTCATTTGTTTTCTTACATCGTATCAAAATAACAATCATTGCTGGGAATCAACAATTTTTGAAATAAAAATCTGTGATTATTCGCCGAAGTGATCTGTACCACAATTGGAATTTTTTTAGCACTTACTTTATATGTACATATATAAAATAAAAGCAATGTCGTAGTTAGCTATTGGTTAAGTTTACAGTTTTATTCAAACATTAATTAAAATTTAATTGAACTGATTGAAAACACAAGAAATATCATTTGCTTATTTTTACAATTGAATTTTCATTTCATAAATGAATTTTATTCACTCGGATAATGAAATTAAACAAATTTGTAAAATCACAATTATTTTAATGAAATCTGAAAAATAAATGAGATTCTGTCGCGGCACAAATTGATAAATGAACGTTTCGCGGCTTCAATTAACAGCAACAGTTCGCCAAAATGAAATTACGATTAACATAATATCGATTAAATCATTAAACTGCACTACACTACACTACGTCGCGTCGGACAAAAACGTGTCCGCCTCAATCAATACCAATTAATACAGAGTATAAACAAAAAAAAGATATTTAATAAAGAGCTTTTTAAAAAATCATTAATGCGCCGCAAATCTGACATGTGATTAGGGTTGCCAGTGAAAAAAGATGGAAAGAGACGGGGCCATTATGTTCGATAATGCCGTGTGTTGCCAGATTATCGATAATTATTACAAAAAGAGAGACGCCGATCATATCACGATAAGTGTAAAACATCTTAATGCGTTCCTATTTCTTATTTGTTTTGTGTCGCTCCAAATCTCCACTCGCATCTTAATGCGATCGCGCCGTCCCTCTCCCACATGGACAGGTCACTAGCGAGCGAGCGGGACGGCGGTACAGTAGCAGCTCTGTTGTGACTTTTGATATCTCAATCAGTGACAGGAGCGGATATTTTGTCACTTGCACGTTTCTTAATCGTTGTAAAATTGACAGACGGACAGTTTAGTTTTGTAAATATAAATGTTTTGTACTGATTTGTAATATGTCGCTAGTCTCCTAGCTCACTATATATGTATAATAGTTAGTAATAGTAATTGTTCATGTTATTACGTAAGCTTCACTTTAGTGACGTAATATAATATATTGCTTAATTAAATCTATATTTGACTACGTACATTTATATGTACTTTATAATTTGATAAACTCGAATCTTGTTAATGTAAAATACAACAATTACGGTCTTAACATGCATTAATAACAAAGATATTTTTTTGCATAATTCTTTATTACCAAACCTACCTTTTTTTATATCATAAGGTGGCAAACGAGCGAGCGGCCACTTGAAATCGCTGATATAGCGAAGCGACCGTTGCCCATAGATATACGCAATTGCATATGCGTTGCCTACCTTTAATCGACGGAGGAGAGGATGCACAGAAAGAAAATATATTCCCTTTCCATGCATCCTGTCATCCGGAAAGTCCACTTCCACTTCCCTTATAAGAAAAAAGGTGGGAAGGGAAAGAGTACTAAATTAGGCCTCCGGGACGCACAATCATCAGACGAAACGCGGACTTGCTTCCACTTGACGCCTGTCTTCTGTGTGATCATGGTATTTCACCGGACGAACCTGGCGGGCGGGCTCTACCACTGTTAAAATTAATGATTACGAAATACAACTAATTTAAGAAAATTTTATCTAAAAGAAGTATAATATTGTTAATTAAAAAAAATCACACGATGACTAAACCATAAAAGTCTTCGTATGCGGTAAGTGTTTAAAACTTATCTTTTAACCACTAAATCATTACTCAATTATTATGCGATTGTAAACGTTGCCACAGTATCTCAGTATTTCTCAGCAGTAGTTAACCTCTGTGTGTGTGTGTGTGCATCAGTTATTATTTAACAAAACATGTATTTTGCAAGTAATTTATATGACTTGTGTTGTAATTAAACGATACATCGGTTTTGACGCGAGCGTTTACAGCTATGTAAATATGATCCCTAACAGCGCGAGTCCGGCCCTGGACTTCGCTGCAGGGAAATTTATTGCTAAAGAATTACACAGGGCTGTCACCACATTGATGTAAATATTACTTTGTAAAAGCAATTTAAGAAGCAAAGCAAATGCCAAATCAGAACATAGTTAATCTTACTTCTTACTAGTGTTCTAATTGTGAAAGATTACATGGATGGATGGATAGATGTTTGTTTGAAGGTATAACGGCTAAACGGGTCAGGATTATATTTGGCACAGATGTAGAAGTAGTCTGGAAGAACATATATGGTTATTAACATATGAGGAAATGAATTTGTCACAAACATATGAGGAAAGTAATAAAAAAGTCCAATTATTTTTTCAAAGCAATGTAAAATTTTTACAAAAGTAGTTATCACACAGAGACATCCCTAGACTAGAGTAGTGGCCACAGTCAGTGTGTAGGAAGCCTTACATTTTGTTGATTTGAATATAATTGTATTAGAATGGGGCGTGCGTTTCAAAGCAAACATTGTTGTTTGATTTACTGACCTCCCCCCCTTGCCCCCCCCTTCCCCCCACCGCCGCTTCCTGTTGTAATTGCAATGCTGCTATACTAGATATCATCGTCATAGCGATAAGACATAGCATGAAGCATCCTCAGCACCGCGACCACGTAGATATTATATATGTACACATCGCTATAACTAACAAAGCTATATATTTTAGCTTAACATTTTGAATACTTGTAAGGTTTGAGTCTCATACCTCATTCGTTTTAATACTCACAGTTATACTCAGTATGTAGATAAAGATCTAATTCGCTAATTAAAGGTACCAATCATCCTTGAATCCTAACATTGGTATTTGCCAATAATAAGACAGATATTGTATCAATGGCAGTATGTATTTGTGATGACGATGTTATTTATAATAATTGCTAACAAGCTTTTAAGTCGTTAGCGATGTATGTACGCGGATGTACTACACAGGCATCTGTAACTTTTAATATGCTGATGGACGGTTTTATTAAAAGTGACAATTTCTTCAACTTTCTATGTACGTGACAACTCATCAACTATTGTCTTTGTCAGGCGAAGGTTCATGCAACAGCAACGATGGGTTCGGTCAGCGCACGCCGGACAAGTCACCGCCACCCAGCGACGAGGAGGCGTGCGGGGGCCGCGGGGCGGGCTCCGGCGGCGGGGGTGGGGACAAGAAGAAGCATCGCCGCAACCGCACCACCTTCACCACGTATCAGCTGCACGAACTGGAGCGCGCCTTCGAGAAGAGCCACTATCCCGACGTGTACTCGCGCGAGGAGCTCGCCATGAAGGTCAACCTGCCAGAGGTCAGGGTGCAGGTGAGAGAGAACCTAAACTCAAGTAGTTTTGATAACATAAGTTAAAAGGAGTATTACTTCATATGTAATATTTCCTTGTTCAAATAAAATGTCGCTTTTGAAGCGTTCGTTACAAATATTAAATGGTTTTGAGTTTTAAAAGCACATTATCTAATTGTCCGTATTCAAAACACCCTCTTCCTTGTTACCAAAGAATTAACTGAAAGGTGTTACATCTTAACATTAGAAATGGTCAAACAGATGTCAAAAGAACCCATCGCAAAGTTGTTTGTAAATATAGTTGTAGCGCACAAAATGTAACGCGTTGTATGTACATTCGAGAGCAGTCACATAATTGCCATCAAAGTGTTAATAATTGCTCCGAACGCCATTCTATTGAACACAACGAACTTCTGCTAAACATCCAAAATGAACTAAACGAAACTCTATTAAGTGAAATGAAAAGTCTTCGCAAACATTGAGCGAAGGGCCCTCGGGAAGGGACGAAGGGCCAATAATGAACCGAAGGGGCTTATGCCACTCGAGCCCCTTTGGCTTTGCTAGCCTAACATATGTCAAGCGTATTCCAAAACGACCAGTTTATAAAAACCCCTTCGACCCATCCCCGCACCGACAACTCGAGCCTGTCAGGGGCGCGACGACACTTTCGCAGGGGTCAAGTCAAATTGAATGGTCCCTAATTGCTTTCTTTTGCCGCAATAAAAAAGAACCGGTGCAAGGAAATATAGTTTTTATGTACATCAGTTATAGGGAAGTAATTGAATGCGTTACATAATTTGATGTTGGAGTTATTTGTTAAACCATGCGGTATTTTGGTAATCTCTTGCTTTAGTTAATAAAGGGTAAGTTTATCATCTATGGGAAAATGCGACACCGCCGCCACCCCGCACCACCCCGCACCGCCGCCGGCCACTTCCGCACAGACTCAACAGATCCTTTAATTAATACTTAGCGGTCGCGGAGCAAGGTGGAGGGATTACTGTGAGAGTGCGCCATCTGAATGGATTATTGGTTAAATTGAAGGTTAAAGCGTGTTTAATGCTTTGAGCAGCTGCGGAGAATGCCGCTAAAATAATAATATAATAATTAAATACACGATGCATAATAAAAACGTCATCAAGTAAGCAATTCAGTTAACGCATATTTTGATGATATCGGAAAGTTGAAACTGTATTATACTAAAAGGTATTTATAAAAATGTTTTTGCACTAAACTTGTTGAGCAATTATTACATTCTTGCTATTTATTTTTGTAAACCGCGGGATTAATTTTTGTAATATACAATTTATGTTTTATCAAATTCTATTAACAGAACATAATTACTATAACTTATTTTATTTGCATTTCTCTAACAAATTCAGTATCTACTTAGAAGTTGTCCACTGAAATAATGCAACTAGGAAATCTCTCGTTAACTCACACTTTTTTAATTTGGAATTGAATTCGTTTAGTAAAATGCTACAGCATCCAGTTCCCATCGTCTGGAGAAAGGCAACTCACCGCACTAATTAGCGCCTAATGTTCCTCCCCGACTTGACGGACGGATCCATTACTAACCCTTTAACACCCTCCTGCCCCCTCCCCTTTCCCCTCCTGTCCCTCCTGCCCTCTCTTGTAATACAATGTTATGTCTAACAACAAAAAATTACGGCCTTAATTTGTGTGACTAATTGTTTCTATCCAAATCTAATTTAACTCTTTTATTGCGCGGTTCTTGTTGTCAGGTTTAACAATATTTTGTAGGCATTTTGTTTTCTAAACAAATAGATTCTTACGATGTAATAATAAAATAAAATTCAACTTGTGTTTAGGTAAAATGTGTCTTTACTTATTTTGGAATTTTGTATAGTAAAGGATTTTGTTGTTAAAGAGTTAGATGGGTGTTCATATCCCGTGTGTTAACAAGTTCGTGTGCGATGTAATTTGAAGACGAGTTAGAGTGGCCCAGTCAATTAGTTTGAAACCGTGTCGCGGCGGCGCTAGTGTCGCAGGTTATGTGCCGGCAATTGGCGGCAATTACCGCGTCCGGCCGCGCTGCAACCTGCAGCCTGCAGCCTGCAGACAGCCATATCTCTCACAAAAATACACACGACATTTTGTTACAAATTGTATGTGACACATAGCAGGGTATTTGAAGTGGTGATTATAAATAAAAAGAACTTTAGAAGAACAGTTTTTGAAAAGTTTTTTAATGAATCTTGATGCAGCACAATAGCGGCCTTTGTTTGATGGTTACTTTTAAAGTAAGTTATTATTTGCACAATAAATACAGTTGTTAAAAAAACTGAGAACATAAAAGCATTAATAAGGTCGTATAAGTAACACGTACTTGAATCGCGAATGGGGGCTTATTTAAACGGCCCGTACATTTACAAGGCAATTACTGCGCAGTACAATGCCGCACAACACGCTCACAGAACATCAATTATATCTTTAAAAGCATCTTATCTGATCCCAGTTACAATTCACTACACATTAGAGCCTCTTTACAAAATCAGTCACATAAACACATTTTCAAGCCCATTGTACAAGCGACCAGATCTACTGAACCTTACTAGAAGAATAAACGTTTAGGATATTAGCTCATTTTATATTGGTTACAATTGACCGTTATTAATTGATCCGTGCGACATTAGCGAATAGTTTAGTTGATAGTTACATGTTATTTGGTTGTTTGTCGATGCGTGTTCCGGTGAAAGAAATCACTTGAACGAGTGAGCCGGGGCTCGCTGCAGCCGCTACAATACAAATTCATTGTGAATTAGATGTTAATCAATGTAGCAGTGTTGCTAGGGCTGTCACAAACAACACGGCCGCTTCAGCGCTTTGTCTAATATATCAGAAAAGTATTTCTTATTTACTTCATATTGAGTTGTTTACGATTTATATTATATTTAAACTAACTGTCTGCCGCGACTTCGTTCGCGCTAAAGTAAAAAAGAACTTGATTAGTAGCCTATGTGTTCTTCTAGATTATGATCTACATTTATGGCAAATAAAAGCGAGATCCACGCTGCCGTCCTGGATACCGTTTAAGGAAATTTAATCTATCCATTTATAATATAACATTCGCATTTATAATATTAGTAATATTTTCCATATAGCACTTTGCTTTATAACATACGTATATTTTATCACATGTGAGTTCTTAAAGCGCATGTAATAAATTCGCGCTGTTATATACGCGCTATAATAAAACGTGTTATTACCAGAACAAATAAAACATGGCAACTCCTCACCCCTCACTCACTCCTCACGGCGACAAATGCGCTAATAAACGCTTTTGTACCGCGTAGCGTTAAACATCCCTAATGTTGCTCATATCAATTTATACTCAAACCTCATACAAATAGAGTTCAATTGAATTTATTTCGTGAGAATTACGTACTGCATTTATTTTACTAAAACGATTTTATATGGGCTTTGTTTTTCTATTGAACCTTTATTTGATATCGCGTCATTTATTCAGCTATGTAGTATGTATAGGGTAGGCAGAGCATATGATTGATATATTTCACTTGAGGCTTATTGTGAAAAGTGTAGAAAAGTGCCTATTGTATTACGATAGCCGCGAAGTGCACTTCGTGGCTATAGCTTCAGATTTTATGTTTATTCAACCTATATGTACTACCCTTAAAAACTATCTTTAGATGATTCTATTACTATGTGGAGAAGAGAATAAGATAAACTGTATCCCGGCAGAGCAAAAACACTAGAGCAAATGACTTTAGCCATTACCGATGTTTTTGTCTGACTTCATAAGGAACATAGTTCAATGAGTTTACGTTGTTTCTTTAACAGACTAAATACTTACTTATATTATTTAATTTCTATTTTTAAAGAAATGTTGGACTTTAGAGCTTTACACTAATCAGTAATAGAGTTATGAATAACTTTGTAGGAACTCAATTTAATCGTTTTCGATTTGTGTAAGTCGTACGATGTACAGTCGAAACTGGATAAATGAGAATTGGATAAGAGTGAAAATTTTATAAGCGAGAATCATTTTTCGATCCCGACGGACCTGCATACAGATATCGCGGCCCCTTACATCCTCATTTGTCCAGGTTTGACTATACTTTATTCACCTTGCTCCTTCTGCATTAATAAACTAGCTATGTATGTTCACACTTGCTTATAGCACATGGGTAACTTCCTCTAGATTGTAATAATTTGCCAGCGCGGAGGTTTATCCTTGTAATTGAGTGACTCGCTCATCGACTAACGAGCTAATTGCCAAGAGCACAACGTTAACTACCAGCGGCCCCTGTCGCCTGTCGCCTGTTATCTGTAGCCTGTCGCTTGTCACCAGTCTACTGTAGCCTGTCGTCCGCTATCCACTTACTGATCAATTAATTAGTATTATAAATTCATGTCACATTCCAAAGAGCGGTCGCAAATAGATGTGTCATTTTAGGAAATAATATTTAATAGAGACGTCTAAACTTTACCGTGTTTAAGTTCATAAAAACTGTGTTACCAACGGAACTAGGAATAATAGGAGATAAACACCACAATTCAAGAGCTAGAAAGTATATAGAAAGTAAAGCTTCTTTAAATGCCATTAACAACTGTGTCTTTTTCCTATTCATACTATTTGGCGCATATTTATGTGTTTTATGTTCTGCACAATAAAGACGGTGAATATGACAAGCACTTCTATAAACTTTATGGCAGCGACAGTCTCGCGGTGCTCGCAGACTCGTGTAAGTGAGTTAGGCTCCGGCCGCGCCGCTCGCTCGCAAACACCTCCATATACCTAGTATAAGAAATTTAATTAAATTATTTTATAATATGGTGCTATAAACGCTAAAAACATTTCCACTCTTTCCATGCTTTCTTAATCTACTGAATCTTCAAGTGGCTGACTTGAAGTCAACTTGAAGTCAAGTATTTCATACTACGATGCCTAAAATTGCGTGTTGTTTAACGTAATATATTTGTGAATAATTTCTATTAAAGTTGTCATCAATCGGATTGAAATGCCATCAAGAAGCTAA